GGCCTTGGGGCTTCTCCTCGCTAGTGTCAGCGGGCTGTTGCCACCGTAATTTTGCAAATAATCTCCCAACATTTTTGAAAATAACCCCGAATTTTGCAAAAACCAGCCCGGAATATTGCAAAAAACCCCATACATTTTGGAAAAGCTCCCTCAGATTCTGCAAAAACCGTCTAAATTTTGCAAACCTCCCTGTTTTGCAAAAAAAAACACCCCATAATTTTTAAAATAACTCTGAATTTTGCAAAAGCGCCCTCAAAATTTGCACGGATCCCCTAAATTTTACAAAACACCCTCAATTTCGGGAAAAAAACCCTCTAAATTTTGCAGACTCTCCCCCCAAATTTTGCTGAACCCCCTTCAAATTCTGCAACTCCTCCTAAATGTTGCGAATTCTCCTCCTCGAATTCTGCAGCCCCCCCTCAAATTTTGCAAAATCTCCCCCTCAGATTTTGCAAACCCCCCCCCAAATTTTGCAAACCCCCCTGTTCTGGCAGCGCGGGTGTCGGGGTGGGGGGCACACGCGGCCTCGTGTCCCCGCTCCTGGCACACGTGTGTGCGGTGGGAGACGTCAGCCGTGTATTTATAGCGCCCAGGGGGATGGAGACGCCGGGGTTTGCTTTGCCTGGCCAGGGTCTTTGTCGCAGGGTGATGTTTTTAAGGGGGTTTGGGAGGGCTGGCTCTTAATTTTTGCCTTAATTTGGCTTAAATTTTTGCTGGTAGGACAGGGTTGAGCATGGCCTGGGACCCTTCTGGGATGCTGAGCTGTCCCCTTTCCCCAGCTGCCCCACAAGGTGCCAGATGACATGAGTAATCATCAAGCCAGCACTCAAATGATTCATTAGTGACAATCACCACTGATTTCTTCTTTTTTTTTGAAATTCTGGTTGATATTTTCAGCTGATTTCCCCGCTCCCTTTCAGCCTGGTTTGTGGCTTGCAGAGATGGGAGCTGAAATGCCGTCAGATGGTTCCCTGTGCTGGAATTGTTTGGAAAAAAAATTTAGAAATATTTTTGGCCTGGTAATGAACTTGAGGGTTTCAGACTGCCTCTGATGGGGCTCCTGTCCAGCCTGGCCCCTCTCCCGGGGCTGGATGTAGGTCAGTCAGGAGTGGGAGGTTAAACCCATGCCCTGCCCCACATCGCTGGATCTTCTCTTAATCTTCTGCCGGAACGAGTGAGTAAGCCTCACACCACAGGAGCCGGGGTTTATTCTGCTGCCAACCAGGCAGAGTAGAGAGTGTTGGCATAAATAAAACAAACTGCCTTCTTACAGCGCTGTCCTTGAGCTATTTTGGACAGGGTGGGGTGAAGGTGAAATCTCTCAGGGGCTGTACCTGACCACATGGCTTTTTCTCTTCTTTTCCTCCAGCTTTGTTAAAACTCCCAGGTTTCTTCTGCATTTTTCCTCTGGAACAGAGAGGCTGAGCGTGTGCCGGCATGGCAGGTACAGGGAGGGAACTACGGTGGGGCTTGCCCCTCTCCTCTGAAACTCGTCTGGGGCTTTACTGGCCATAATGCCACCTTGGTAGTCCCCAGTGGGGTTGCAGGTGGCCACACTTGCAGGATCCACATGGCCAACGAGGGCTGAATTTGGCTCAGTGCACGTGGGTGGGCTGTTGGTGGCTGCAAGGGGAAACCTTTAATTCCTGCGTGAAACTCATCAATTCCTGGGGCTGAACGAGACTAATTAGGAAGGGTCTTGATTTAACTTCAGCTCCATGCGGCGCCCAATGCCGGTGAAACTTTTTCTTGCAGAAAAAGCAAACAACTTCCCTCCTCTGCCGAAGTTCATCCCATTAAAGCCATGCTTCTACCAGGACTTCGATGCAGAGATCCCGCCGCAGCACCGTACCATGGCCAAGCGGCTTTACTACCTCTGGATGCGTGAGTCGCTGGGCGGGGAAAGGGCTTGGGTGGGTCTTTTTGGCCTCTCTGCAGGCTGCTCCTCTGGAAGTTACCCATTGGAAGAGCAGAGCAAGGTCAGGGGAAGTCCTTTTCCACCCCAAGCTCCTCAGGAGCCCTTCGGCAGCGACCAGAAGCTGAGATGCCGCTGGGATTGGAGGGCCAGGGTGTCTGCTACCCAAACCAGGGCAGCCTGGGGGCTTCCCCCAAAGCTGGGTCTTGCCTGTTCCTCTCGCATGCCTCTGTGTGCCGTGCTGTGCTAACAGAGCTGTCACCATCTTCTAACTCTTAAAACTAGCCTGGATCGCTCTTCCTTACCAACCCCAGGAGGGACAGATCGCACCTTGACGTAGATGGGAATGTAGGTGTGCAGCTCAGGGCAAGCTGGCATCATTGTTTTCGTTCTTTTTTGAAGAACATAGTTCCTTAATCAGGCATTTTTCCATTACCCTGGGGTAACTTCCCCCATCGCATCAGGAGGGTTAATGTGAGCTTTTCTGTGAAGGGGAAGGAATAAAAGTTGTGCTTCCCTGGGGAAGCTGTTGAATCCCCTGAGGGTGTTAAATCCCCTCCCTACCTCAATTTGGCCGTTCATGCTCTGCTTAATTTAATAGAGCTTGGTTCTTGCTCCAGCCTCTCCCACAGCAGAAGCACCAGCTTCCTGAGCCAGTCGCTTGTTGGTTTCTGTCTCTGGAGCTCCTCCCTGGACCATTTTCTCCCCAACTCCCTCGCAAACACCCAGCCAGATGCAAGCGTGGGGAGGTTGGAAGGTCCCCTCGGTGTCCTTGGGGGCTTTAGGGAGCAGCGAACACCCAGTCAGCCTGGCCAACTGAGCTCCTTCTCTTGCCAGCTGCAGCTCTCTTGCGGACGGCGGTGGGAGGGTTTGAATTCTCGTCAAAATAATGAATCATTCTCGAAAATCGGAGGCGTCAGAATGCAGATGAGCCTTCTCTGCTTTGTCCTGTGTCTGCTAAGCTGGGCTTCATAGTAGTAGCCCTTGTCTCACTTAACCCTGAGCAAGGGTGGGAGAAGCAAACACGCAACCCCCCCCTGAACTGGCGAGGCAGGGGCGGGGAGTTCAGGACTTAAGCTCAGGGGGTGTCAGCTCAGGGAGCTCCTGCACAAGCAATGTAGCCAGAGGCAAGTGAAAAAGCTTCACTTGGATCCCTCCTGTTTCCTTCTGTTGGTGGAAACCTGCTGGTGGGAGGATCTGGCTCTTCCCATCCCTGGAGCCCCATGAACCCTCGATCTGCTTAAAACATTACAACTTCCAGCAATATATATATATACATTTTGTCTCCTGTTCCTCAGCTGAGGTTGAACCCCCTTTGGCTGATCTGGGGGCGCTCCCCAGGCTCAGCCAGCTAAATTTAAGTTAAATTAAGGGAAATCCGGCTAGGGTAACACATCGCTGGCCTAACCCACTGGAGGTGACCCCCGCATGGGCATCCCTGGGGTTGGGGTCTCTCGTATCGCACCGACCTCCTTGCGTACGCGCTACTCTGCTCCCTCTGTGTGTGTGTGTGTGTGTTTGCAGTGAACAGCATCACCTTGGCGGTGAATCTCGTTGGCTGCCTCGCATGGCTGATTGGAGGCGGCGGAGCTGTTAATTTTGGACTGGCAATTCTCTGGCTCATTCTCTTTACGCCCTGCTCCTATGTCTGCTGGTTTAGACCTATTTACAAAGCTTTCAAGTAAGTGGTCACACCTCAGCCTGGCTTCTCCTGATCTTTGGTTTGGTTTTGTTTTCCTTCCTAAACAGCGCTTAGCTTGGGGTGTTGCCTGAATATCTGGGAGAATTTCTGCTCTTTCGGTCCAGCCCTTTAGCTTTACTTTCCAACCTTCAAAGCAAGAGTGTTTGGGATTTCCTGTGGGCCAAACCCCCAGCCATGATATAAAGTCACCCTCTGTGTGGCTCTGCACAGCACTGGGCGAGTGGCAAGGATACAGTTGGGGTGCCAACTTCCCCTCCGCTCCCACCCATCCTTGAGGCTCCTTTCATGTTTTCCCACAGGCCCTCGAGGTACTTATATCAATGAGGCCGATCCCCAGGACAGTATCCCCAAAATCTAGAAAACGAGGGGTGTATTTCTTCCCTGTACAGGAAGGCTGAGTGTGGTGGTAGGGTGGTGTGAGCTGGCAGCCGTGTCTGAACACAGATGCCCTCTCTCCTGATGTGCTGAGTTGGCCAAGTCGTGGGGAGGGTCCAGTGCACTGTGACTTTCCCCAAGTGTCCCTTCATCACCTTCAGCCTCCCGCAGTCTCTCCCTCGCCTGTGGTTTTGTTCCAGTGCCCGCTGTCTGCAGGCAGCTCCGCTTCCCACCACCCTCTCGGTAAACCACAGCCGCTTCTGCCCCCAAAGGGTCTCAGACCTGGGACCATCTCCCTTCCATTGAAGCACAGTGTGGATGGAGGCGTGAAGAGTGACAGAGCCTTTTCTTGCAGGACAGACAGTTCCTTCAGCTTCATGGCCTTCTTCTTCACCTTCATGGCGCAGCTGGTGATCAGCATTATCCAGGCAGTGGGAATCCCGGGCTGGGGTGTCTGGTAAGGAAGGTGCTGCTCTCATATTGGGTGCAAGGACAGCGTTGACCTGGCGCTGTGGCTTCCTGTTTTTTTTTAACACACTCAGTGGTTCGGTAGCTTCTCTCCTTGGGGAAGAGGGTTTGAGGAGCTGGGTGCACTGTGGCCCTTTTTCACCATTTGTTTTTTTTGATCTTGCAGTGGCTGGATCGCAGCGATTTCCTTCTTCGGGACCAATGTGGGGTCAGCGGTGGTGATGCTGATCCCCACCATCCTGTTCACAGGCATGGCGGTCTTCTCCTTCATCGCTCTCACGATGGTACGGAGGAGATGTTGGGGCCGCGTTGCTCCAGGGAGGGTCAGCGTGAGCTGCAGTCGCTCAGTGCCTCTGCATTTTCTTTCCAACCTGCTACAGGTCCATAAGTTTTACCGAGGGAGCGGGGGGAGCTTCAGCAAAGCGCAGGAGGAGTGGACCACGGGGGCGTGGAAGAACCCCCAAAAAATTCGGCAGGCGGCGCAGAACGCGGCGATGGGGGCGGCACAGGGGGCCATGATGCAGCACGAGACGCAGTACTCGGCCACCCCGAACTACACCTACTCCAACGAGATGTGAGCAGCAGGACTCTGTCCTCGGGCAAAAGATCTGGGGGGAAGGGAGGAGGAGGAGGAGGAGGAGGAAGAAGAAGGCTGAGCCAAGTTTCTGCAGCTGTTTTGGAAAGTCGGAGTGTACCATAACAGTTCTTCTTTTCCCATTCTTTGTAACAATATAGTTTTGGGGTTTTTTCTTTTTTTTTTCCTCCCCCCCCCCCAATCTCTTCTTTTATTTTTCATTTTTGAAGAGGCCATGAGTTGACCTGCAGGGCTCTTGTGTGTGGTAGTGAGTGTATGTTCACGTGTCTTCTTTTTCCCTGTGAAATAGTGTGTGGTGGTGGTTTTTTAATTACTGTGGTGATAGGTGTACGTTAGAACTACAGCAGCCAACAGCCCCCTTCCTCCCCGAGAGATCAAAATAGCAACCAGCACCCATCTCTCCTCTTGGAATAAGCCCTGAACCACAGGTTTCCCATGTGCGTGAGTTTTCTCTTTCTGTTGGTAGCGTCCAGTCACTTGCCACTGTCCCAGCAAGGGCAAGCAATCCTGGGAATTCTCCTTTCCTTTTGCTATTTTGTTTTTTTAACTAGCAGGTGGCTGGCTGATTTAGCATTTAAAAAAAAAAAGGGAAAAAAAGAAAGAGAAAAAGAAACTCTGAATCCTACTGTTGCTATGCTGGAAGCCGAGAGATTCCTAATCTACACCCTGGCTCAGGATCTACAACTTCTCTCAGCGTGTGGTGTTGTAAATGAGTAGTTCCCATTTTGATGTGGAAAGCCAGTATCTGTGTGTGACTGTGGGCCAGAGCCCTGGCACACCGTGTGTGTGTGTGTGTGTGCAGTGGGGAGTGAGGACAGGGCTTCCTGGCAGGATCCAACCGTCCCGTTCCAGATTCTGCATCCTGAGTCTGTTTTTTGGTGGTGTTTTTTCCTTTAAAAGCTTCTGTTTTGAAAAGCAGCTCTAAAATGAGCAGAGTGTTTCTCAGAGGATCTGTTCTTGGGTCAGATTTTACCGGTCCCATGTGTGAGCACAACCAACCAGTCTCATTGGTGATGGAAATGGCCAGGCCAGGATTTGTCCCCGTTAGCTTTTGAGGCATGCACTCATTTAAGGCTCTTTAGGAAATCTTCAGTCTGGTGGGAAGGATTCCTGCTCACTCGTGCTTCCAGAATCACAGAATCACAGAATGTTAGGGATTGGAAGGGGCCTCAAAAGCTCATCCAGTCCAATCCCCCTGCCGGAGCAGGAACACCCAGATGAGGTTACACAGGAAGGCGTCCAGGCGGGTTTTGAATGTCTGCAGAGAAGGAGACTCCACAACCTCTCTGGGCAGCCTGGGCCAGGGCTCTGTCACCCTCACTGAGAAGAAGTTTCTTCTCCAATTGAAGTGGAACCTCCTGTGTTCCAGTTTGTGTCCGTTACCCCTTGTCCTATCATTGTTTGTCACCGAGAAGAGCCTGGCTCCATCCTCGTGACACTCACCCTTTAAATATTTATAAACATGAATGAGGTCTCCCCTCAGTCTCCTCTTCTGCAAACTAAAGAGACCCAGCTCCCTCAGCCGCTCCTCAGAAGGGAGATGCTCCACTCCCTTGATCATCTTTGTAGCCCTACGCTGGACTCTCTCCAGCAGTCCTCCTTGAACTGAGGGGCCCAGAACTGGACACAATATTCCAGATGCGGTCTCACCAGGGCAGAGTAGAGGGGGAGGAGAACCTCTCTCGACCTACAACCACCCCCCTCCTGATACACCCCAGGATGCCATTGGCCTTCTTGGCCACAAGGGCACAGTGCTGGCTCATGGTCATCCTGCTGGCCACCAGGACCCCCAGGTCCCTTTCCCCTACGCTGCTCTCTAACAGGTCATTCAAAAAAAGAAAGCAAAAGGAAACTACGGCAGCCAGGGAAGGGGAGCAGCAGACCCTGGAAAAGATCAGGTAGTAAACAGGAGCTGATGGACACTGCGGGGCAGGAGGAAAGAAAGCTCCTTCTCAGAGATGCTTTTCAGCTTCTAAATGCACTTTAAATAAGCCAAATTTGCCTCCCAAGTCCTAGAAAAGGAGCCCAACCAGAATCCAAGCTGGCCCCTTGGCTCAGATCTCTCCTGCCTGCTGCAGGCAACAAGCTCAGTGTCCCCGGCCCTTGTTCCCCATCCCCTCCAGCTGTCCAGTCGTGCTTGGCTGTGACTCCCAGCCACAAGAATCGCCCCAAACAGAAACTTCTGTTTTTCCAGCAAAACCTGCCAAGAATAGTTTCCTTCTAAAGGGTGGCACTTCAGTCATTCTGCAGTAGGCAGTCACCTCTTGACAGGAGTAAAATGAAGCTACTGATAAAATGCCTGTCCATGTGTGTGTGTGTGTGTAAATATATGTATAAAACGTAAGGAGAAAAGTAATCCTTTGCTGAGCCTATTATGTACTTAATCAGGTTTAAATATTGTGCAATTCATTTCTAGCTAGCCTAAAGTTTACTATGCCAAATCACGTGCTCTGTCATCCATGTCTGAGAAACGATGAAGCGACTTCACCTTCGACGTTGACAATAAGATGCATAAATAATAACTGTAACGAGCTATAACTAACAGACATTGCTTCAGCACCTAACCCTCTCACGTGTGTCTTCTAAATGTGTGAGTGCTGACCGCTGAAACCCGGGCAGGACACCAGACCAGCCCTGCTCTCGCCGTGCTGATTTTGAAGCTGCCACCACTTTAGGCAGGGGCTGCTGTGGCTGGGGAGCCCGCAGGCTGGGAGGGCTGGTACTGGGTGAGGAGGCAGCTCTGGGCTGGGAGCGTGCTTGGGGTTTTCCTGATGGCTTCTGCCTCTTTAGTCAAGTCCCGCAGTTGCTTTTTCATATCCCACAGTCCTCTGCTTTTTCTCGCCGTTTATTTAGAGCCCAGGGAGCGCCCTGGGAAGGGTTGGGAATACTGCAGGAAAGGTTTCACGTCTGGTCTGTAATGCCACCTTGGGCAGGGAGGCTGCATGAGGATTCAGGAGCTGCTGGTGGCTCTGCACCCATCAGACACCCCCATCTTCCCCAATGGCAGTGATTTTGCTGTTGTCGGAAATCCCTAAACCCCTGCCATGAGCTTAGGCCCCCTCCCTTAAACCGCCTGCCTGCCCCGCTAGGATCCCCTGCGCCGTGGCTGTCCCTGGGGTGCGAGGGGCGCAAGCACCCCCAGTTCCAAGGCCTCAGAAGCTCCCCTCAGGCCGCCTGGGGCGCCGGAGCCGGCTCGACCCAGCGCTACGGGAAGGGCGGGAAGGGCTCCGGGGAGGGCAGGGATTGGCGGGAGCGGGAAGCACCGGGACGCCCCGTGACGCCGCCTCCGGGGGCCGCTCGCGATGCGCATGCGCAGCCAGCACCAATCCGCGCTCGGGGCCACGTGCAGCATTTCCCAGCGTCCCCTGCGTTTCCGGCGTGCACCTCCGTTGCTAGGCGACGGCGGAGAAGAGCTCCGTCGGACCAGGCCGCGGCCCGAGGTTTGAGCTCAGGGGGCACCGCTCTCCTTGAGCGGGCTCCGTCCTGTCCCTGCCGGTATATAAACGTTGCTCGTTTGCAGTTTGGAAAGCCCTCGGGGGTTTTTTGATGCTGTTTTCAGCGTAGCTGCCGAGTTTTTTTAACTCTTTAAATAAAGTAACTTAGTAGGCCTGTAAGCTGCTTGTGTTTTCTTGCTCTGTCGGTTATCGTTTTAAAAAAATTATGCCTTATTCCCCAGGCTTTAAGAAGTAAGTGCTTCAGTGAATTAATTGTTCTTCTTAATTAATTATAAAGAAAGCTAATGTTTTCCTTGCTGTGATGGTGTTGGTTTTTATTGGGTATGGATAAATGAGTGTTGCAGTAGTGCTGAAGTCACATGTACTGGGTTTCCTTCTCTCTCATTACTCTTACCAGTCAGTGCCTAGAAGCTCAACCTGATAAAATGCTCTTTTCACAACTTTTTTTTTTAATAAACACACTGAGAAACTTAAGGGCTTTACCAGACCACTTTTGTGGCTTCCCTGGGCAGGTTTTAGCGTTCTGTTTACCCATATCTGAAAGAAAACTGTAATTAAACAGAAGGAGTGGGGCACTGCTGTGTTTAAAGGTCTGCTGATGCAAAGCTTTGCAGATTTGGGGTCTGAGGAGGCATGGAGGCACTGTGAGTTAAGTGGCTTCGTTTTTCCATGCTTGTAGAGTTTGCTTGAAGCATGGAGCCTTCCTTGCCACCAGAACCAGGGTTTCCTGCAGAAGAGAGCTCAGCTGCGCCGCACAAAAACCACCGTGTCCTGGTGGGTGTCACTGGAAGCGTGGCTGCCCTTAAGCTGCCTCTCCTTGTCGCTGAACTGCTGAAAATCCCAGGGGTGAGTAAACCTGTTGGTGGTGTATTGTAAAGTTGGTGTTCTCTTGTTTCTCATTTCTTGGAAAGATTTGGTGGCTTTTGTTGAAATGAAAAAGTTTCTTCTGGCTTTGTGCTCCTTAGTTTGGAAGTTCCTTGGAGGGGGGAATCCTTCTGCTTTTAAAAATTTATTAATACTTTTTCCTATCATTTCATACTTCTTTATACTTAAGAGTTAGCTTTAAATCAGGTTTTAAGGGCAGTAATTGTCCCTGGATATTTCCATAACTAGGTGTTTAGGTTCTGGAATATAAAAGTAGCGTTGTTCAGTGCAGCTTGCTTCATTGTCTCAAAAACGACTGAACAGGTCCTTGTCTTGTTTATTGTTGTTTGGGTTTTTTTTTTTCCTGGAATATGTTCTTGTCCATCAAATTATCAGATGTGGCTGTGGACACAGGTGATGATCTCTGGAACTTTGAAATCTAATTAGGACTTGGCACTTTTAAGTAGGGGGGATATGGAGTTGGCAAAGATGGATGCTGCTCTCTGACTGACAAGGGGAAAACAGATCTTGTAAAAACAGAACTAGGAGATACAGGCTGATGTAAATGTCTGTGTATTTTATTTGACTTGAGCTTATTGCCTGGAGTATCAGAGGTGCCCAGCAGAGGCCACTCATGACTTGAATCAGAGAGGGAAACGTGCTGGTTTGTGCTGTAGAAGAAAGTTACAGGAAAACATAGAAAACACTTAGCTTTTAAGACATGAAGCAAATGTTCTGGAGCAAGTAAATGAAAGAGTGGCAGGAGCAAGAGGCTGCCTTTACATATCCAGATATATTTGTTAGATTGTTTAACGAATATCTTTCTAAATTACTTAGGAGGCTTTACCTGTAGGTGCATTAACACAGTCAGAAGAGGTGCAATCCCCAGGTAACTGAAATATTTAGGTGATCATAGATGTTGATATCCAAGCTGGAAAGAGTACCAAATTATCCAGTGCTAAGTTAATTATCCAGTCCAGGAGCTTCTGGTGCTTAATTTGTTAATGAAAATAATGTATTTATTTGTTTCTGATGTGGTTTCAAGGCATGACCTAAAGCCTGCTGATTCAGTGTAACTTTTCCATTGAGTTTAAAGTCCTGCACAAGGCTGTTGCATCAATTTATTTACTGACGGAACACAACATAAAAAGCCATCGGTGGAAGCAGGGCAGGAGTGGAGGAAGGTTGTGATACCAAAGGAGATGTGGTCAGAGGCTCAAAACCAGAGCAGTTCATTTAAATTAATGTTCTTGCTAAGATCATCCTCAGTGAACAACCTGGCAGTGTGATTTTGCACTCGTTAAACTTTAACCTTATCACTCGAGGCAGTAATGGGTACGACTACATCTTCTTGCCATTTGTTTAACCTCTTTGAAGATCTAGGAATTTTATGTGGCATCAGCTTCCACCTTTCAGGTTATTACCCTTGCACCTGGTGTTGTGGGGAGGCAGCACACAGTGTCTTGTCAGGACACCGTGGGCACTGCTTGCAGCTGTGCTGCACTCATCCATGTGGTCTGAGGCCGGTTCCCAGGATTGTTGAATGGCCTGGCAGGAATACGATAACGAAAATCACATTGGCAGGATATTGGTTAGTCAGAAAGGAAATGGCAAACTTTTCTGCAGGTGAAATGTATTGCTCTTGAAGCTACAGGATGTCACCCGGACTCCTAGGTTTAAATTGCATCGTGTCGTTTTGTTGCGCTCCTGTCGGGTAGCCTCTACGCCAGCTTGTAGGTACCATTGAACAGAGGAGCTGCTCATTCTCTTCTGCAGCAGTTGTTGCCTAAGCTCAGCCTGTCTGTAAAGATTTTGCTGTCAAACCTGAGAAAGTTATGGGGAAAAAAAACCCATGCACACCCCCTTACTCCAAGCAGAAACAGCTGTGACGGGAGAATCCTCTACCAGAGACCAACGCTAATGCGTGATCGCTGTTGTGCTCAAGTTTATTCTGGAGAATTGGCTGAAGTAGTCCAAGTAAAAGAACTCTAACTAGTCTAAACTGTCTCCAGTAAAGGAGCTGGAGCGTGGCTAGACTCTTTAAGCAGAAAGATAACCACAGGCAAACAGAGGGCGTGCCAGGTAAATAGGAGGAAAAAAACCTATGTAGGCTAAAGTGATCTTGAGAACACTGATCTCTTTCCAACATAGCTGGAGGGACTTGAAGGACTTGCTCAGAAAAAGGGATCCAGGAGCCCACTCCAGCAGCAAACCTTAATTAGGGAGAATGTTTAACTGTTCTCTGAGTGATGGCAGCTCCCCTGAGTCCTTGAATGTTTTCCTCCAGTGTGCTCTAGCTTGTAGTGGGTTGGATGGAGTACTCTATAGCCAGCTAAGCCCTGTTACTGGGCTTATGCTTTGAAGAAATAAGTATTTATTTTTAAACACTGAAGATGGTTATGAAACTGTTTTTAAAAAGTAAGAAAAAGCAGTGGGTTTGGGGGATTTTTTTTGGTGTATCCTTTAGCCTTAGCGGGGTATTTCTTGTCTGGACTAGAAAATGTTGAATAATGACAAACTGAAGTAGTAAGTGACAAAATGTGTCGTGAGGTAGATTTGTATAATCTAAAAATCCTCATACCGTTATGTAAAATCAGACTACCACTAGCAAACGTTACTGCTGGAAACTTTTAGTGCAGGCCTGGCCTACTGGTACCATTTCAGAGAGCAGACGTGCCCCTTTAAACTGTACATTGCTCTTTAGAATCACCAACTAAACAGTATCTTACAGACTGTGAGGTTCACACCTCACTGGAGCCCACGGCGTAGCAGAGAGCAGCATTAGCACCTTTGCGGGTGTCACCCCTTGGCTCCAAACAGCTTCCTGTGAGGTGAGGGCAATATGGAAACAATATGGTTGATTGCTGCAAATGCAATCTTCACGCTCGAAAGTGCTAGAAATGCAGCTGTGATTTTTCAAGTGAGGGTCGACTGAAAAAGAGCAGACATTTAGAAGAGGAAAAGAACTAAAAGCATCATACTAAATACCGGTGTTATCTGCAACTGTATTTTTCCCATTACTTTTTCTTCAGGAAATGGGGGAAAAATTACTAAAGACCACGACGTGCTAAGGCTGGGATTTTCCACTGCTCCCAGCTGTTATTCTGGTCACGTAGGGTGCAGATAATCACCACTACTCCATTCCCCATTGAATAGATAGCGTTGTGGAGATAGGTTAACATGTTTTGTCACTTCAACCACTGCTGTTGAAGATAGCTTCTTGGAGGCTGGAGGTTTGCAGCAGTCTGCTTTAGCAAGAGGGCACAGACCGAGTGCTTCATCACTTTTGTACCTCAGGCCACAGTTCTCTAGCGGGAAGGAGTTGTTGGTGAGGCTGGTTTCTCCCCATCTCTGTTGGGCTGATAAAACCACACGGTGAGTTGCACTGTGAACTGCTTGAAGGAGCAGACTGTGGTCAAAATTGGGGAAATAATAATGAGGAAAATTGTTATTTTTCACTATAATCAGTGGCCTGAGGTGCATCTTCCCCATTATCGGTCTTTTCAGAGTGCTCCTTCCATGTGTTTACCTGTCTATTGACTGGTTTTAAGGTACATTCTTGGGAGGAATTGCAGATGGAAATACAGTTGCGTATCCTGCACGAGTGATCGGCACACACAGAGCTGCTCTTGACACTGGCATTGTGATCCCGGTGCGCACAGAGCACCTCCAGGTCACTGCACGTGGCACGCAGCTGTTTGTGACATTTGTCAGAGCTGCAGCTCTGAAGCGAGATGCTCTCCTACTGCCTTTGACAGGTGTCTTTTGGGATTAAAGGGCATCTTTCACTGAGCTTGGATTTGGTGCTTCTTGCTGTCTCTTTGAAGTTCTCCTTCTGATCTGCTCTGTCCTCCCTGCTGTCCCTGCTGTGAACTGGCCACATGAACGAACGTGTTTGGCAGGCAATGATTAATCATCTGCCTGTTTTAGGGTGGCAGGAGAATGCCTGCAGTGGCCTGATCTTTCAGCTATGAATAGGTGCAGTTATGCACGTGGGCACAGTCAGGAGAAGTCCTCTGAGAATCCACACAGCTTTCAAAATCTTTGCCGCTTAAGCCCTCCTACCCTGCCCAGCTTTACAGGTTTGTCCTCAAGTCTCACCATTGGGCTGTCTGTCTTGTTCTTTTCTGCTTAGCTCGAAGTGAAAGTGGTCACTACTGAGAGCGCAAAACATTTCTACAATGCCCAGGAGATTCCCGTCACACTCTACAGCGATGAAGATGAATGGCAGGTGAGTTGTTCTTTTGGAGACCACAAGGGCTTTGGGATATGGTGTTAAAAGAACATAGATACAACTGTGGTGTGAGGAAGAAAAGAAAGGCTACCCTGACTGCAGCAGAGGGTTTTTGCTGCCCTAGCAGACCTGCAGCAGGCAGTGAGGGTAGAAGGGGTCTCTCACCACCCTGCACTCAGCTGCTATCCACAGCTCTGAGCTGTCTCAGGAAATGTCAAGAAAGCCATTGCAGAGTCGTGGTGAGAGTGTTTGCCATGAGTCATGCCTGTCACGAAGGCAACAGCTTAATTCTCCATAACGCTACATATTTTGAATCTACAAATATTGCTGACTTTCACAAAACTACCCACGCTGCTGTAAAACTCAGCCTGGTGTCTAACTGACGAGCCTTGTGCTGGCAGGGTCACCCTGGTGTCGCGGTGCAGAGGAAGGCCAGCACTAGTGGCTGGAAGTTAGAGAGGATCTCCTGGTGGAAGTGGTGCTTATCTTGGTGGTGTCTGCCCTGTGCTTGTGCACATATATAGAAGAACCATTCCAATAAGGGATAGCTGAGTTGTCAGGCCCATGAACATCTCTAGGTCTTGCAGAACGGCCTCTTCTCTTGACTGCAATTCTGCTGAAATCCTTTGAGAGTCTCTGAGTATGAAGAGGTTCACTGTATAAACATCAATGTTTGTTTTTCTGTATGTTTTATCTCTACTTTGCAATGCCAATCTGGGTGTGAGGTGATCTACTCTTTACCAGTGCTCTTGCCAATGCACTCACAAGCAAGCATCGCTTTTGTGTGGAGAGAGGCTAATGGCAATGGCCAGGAAGCTTTCTGAGATCTGGGAGATGGTGGAGATCTGCTGGGTCCTAGGGTGCTACAGCTCAAATGATCAGTGCATCTAGAAAAGAAAAATAGAAGCAGGTGGAGGAGCTGGGAAAGGTGTTAGGGAGCACCATCTTTCTGGATGCTATCTTTTTGTTGTGGTTTCCAGTGACTCAGAGAAGGAGCAGTTTGTGGCCCTGATGCACCTCTTGCTGGTCTGTGGTTGTGTGTCCTCTGAGGATTAAGCATCTGATGTTGCTTGCTGCTGCTTTTGACACTTTCCCAGTTACCTGTGCACTTAAGAAAAGACCAGGAAAGGGGAAATCAAAAAAGGGAGCGCTGTGGCTGCAGTCCCTGGTTCCCCATGCTGTTGGATCTTGGTTGATGTGAGAGTCATTATTTCCTCTTCCATTTACCTGGTAGTTACTAATGTGGGATTGATAAAGTGTCCGTTGCTCGCAGTGTCTGTTATGAGTGTTCAGTAATCTGCATCTTGTCTCATTGGCAGATGTGGAAAGGTCGTTCAGACCCAGTCCTGCACATGGAGCTGAGGCGGTGGGCTGACCTTATGTTGGTGGCACCTCTTGATGCAAACACGCTGGCAAAGCTCGCAAATGGCATCTGTGACAACCTGCTGGTGAGTAACCGGAGCTCTGCCTGAGAGTTCTCGCACCTCCCAGCGTTAGGCTGTCTGACCTTTCTTTCATGGAAACTCTTGTGCTTCTGCAGCATCGAGAACAGTGAGATTTGCATGTTCTGCACCCACTTCATATCCTTGTGTTTCTCTTCCTCCACTATGGTTCCCCAGTTCTGTCCCAAACAGTTGTTCTTTATTTCCCTGACCTACATCCCTTTCCACTTCTCAGCTCTGTCAGTCTCTTCCATGATTTCCCCATCCCTGCTTTGTGCCTTTCCTGCTTTTTTGTATGGTGGTTATTTCTCTCTTTCTACCTCCAACCTCTCTCTGTCATCCATACACACACACACACACGTATGCATACACACTTGCACTCACATTTGAGTTCCTCTCTGCATTTTTTAGATGCAATCTGGAAAGACACCTGTGAGATCTGATAAAATTGTTTTACTTCCTGCTACGTCACCTAACTGCAGAGCGCAGAAATTCAAACATGCTCACGCTTACTAACCTTCCAGTTTCAGCTACAGGGGATTTTGCTTGTTCAGGCTTGTTTTTCTGGTATTAAAGGCACTTTGGCTGAAAGGCTGATCAGAAAGTGTATTAAAAGAGAGTGGGCTTGTCTGTTGGGTGATAGGGAACTTCAGCGAGGCTGAATGCTTTGTGTCCAGGCATTAGGTCTTCATTAGGAGATGTCATAAGCATTAACAGCCCAAAAGATCTGCCAGGAAGCTGCAGATCTGCAGATGTTGCTCTGATGCATCACTCTTCAGTAACACAAGCAGGCTAGAACCAGAAATGGAGGGCAGCACATCAGCTTCGGCCAGGGAGCCCCGCATAACTGAGTTGTTCAGGTAAGAAGGAGTGCACATAAATGAACAAAATACACCCAGAGCAGCAGCCCTCATTCATGTGAGCAGATCACTGGAGATCGGAGAGAAACCAGAAGGAGCTGTAGGAGGGCCAGGCAATGTCTTGTCCTTCTAAGTTTCCTTGTGATGGTGGTAGCAGAGGGAAGAGCTCAGGAAGGAGGTTAGGGACAGTTGGCTTCACAGAGTCTTGCCTGTCTTTTCGAACAGCCATGTGGAGGGAAGAGGTGACTCCAGGAAAGGAAAACAAGTTCTGGAGGTGCGGGTTGGCAAGTTAGGACAGATTCTAGCAGACTTCCCTCTGCTGGGAAGGGTTCAAATCGCAGGGCATCAAAAAGGATCAGCAGGGTTCTCGTAAGTACTCTATGATCTGAACAAAGACCCTGCACCAGGGACTGTTGCTCTCTTTGCATGATTTAAGTGCTGCTAGGCCTGGGGAAACTGATGGATGTTGCATTAAGAGCAATCAGCATTTATCTTTTTAAGGAAATGAGGAGATACTGGGTTATCTGGGAGCGCTGTATTACTGAGGAATCAGAGATCCTGTAGCATGCAGGAGCCGCTAGATGGTTTGTAATCTGCCAGCATCTTTTGCAACAGCCCAAATGTCCTCGTGTTATCCTCTATTTGTATCCTGGAAGCAGCAGTGCTTCCCTTGTGAGGAGTTACGGATCCAGTTGGCATATCATTTTAAAAAGACTCACTTGCCAGCTTTCCATGCTTAGCTCTACAGCTGGCTTATCTGAAGTGTTGCCTGGGGATTTCTCTTTAGCTGATATGATCTGTGGCCACCCCTCAGCTGCTCTCGCTCTCCCACATGGGCTGGCAGTCTGCACGCATGGTGTTCCAGCTTGGTTTGCTTCAGTAATTGGGCTGCTTGCTTGGCCCCAAGCCGGACTCGGATGGGATCTATCTTCTTTGTAGCCTCCCTCATCTTTCTTGCCTGTCAGAGATAAGCTTTGCTGGAATGTTACACAAATTAGTAGCAGCCCTGCAGATCTGCCTGTGGGTTAGTCCAGCTGCACTGACAGACTGCTTTTGGCCCTCTGATGACACCCAAGAAAGCATTTCTGTGCAGCAAAGTGATGAGAAGGAATGAGGGAAGTTAACCCATCTCTGAGCTGAACCTCTTGGCTTCTCTTGCAGACTTGTGTCATCCGTGCCTGGGATCTGAGCAAACCTCTGCTCTTCTGCCCAGCTATGAACACGGCCATGTGGGAGCATCCCCTCACAGCTCAGCAGGTGGAGCAGCTGAAAGGCTTTGGCTACACAGAGATCCCCTGTGTGGTGAAGAAACTCGTGTGTGGAGATGAAGGTCAGTCCTTTTGCAAGTCTTCTGACTGCTTTCCTGCACTGCACCACTGCTGCTCTTACCCTGAAGGGACATGCATGCTTTTGCCATGCGGCCTTCAAGATGTTGGACTGTGGGGAGCAGGTGCTCACTGCTGGGGTTTAGAGAAACAAATTGAAGCTTTGCGCTGTGATAGCCACTATCTTTTATTCTTGTTCATAAATTTTTAAGCAGTCTTAAGAGACGATCCAAGCCAGGCCTTTAAATGAGCTGTTAGATGGGCCTGATATTTAAAAGAAATACTCATTCAAGAAGAGAGTCGATCAAAGAGAAGGAAGGCTTCGTGGTTAGCGTTATCAGCCTGGGATTTGGGTGTCCTGACCTTACCCTCTGCTCTGACTGTGGGTTGTTTTCATCATACCTCAGTTCGTCATCTCTAATACAAGAATAATATCTTATCCCCAAGAGCAGGCAGTGAGAATAAGTGCTTTGCAGATGTGGCTGATGGTGTAGCTGGACATGTGTTTAATATTTGTTGTTTGTTGCCTGGGCTGCTTTTCAGCTTCCCAATTGAGTTTTGATTTGGGGTTTTGACATCAGTCTTGTCTGTGAATTGAAGAAGCCGGGCAGAGAAAGTTGTCACGTTCTGTTTCACAAGACTTAACTTGCAGTCCTAAGAAATACTTCTAAAATTATCTCACTTGTATTTCAGGAGCTGCTTTAAATGGAAATATTTTGACTTTTAGGAGGTCTTGATAAGGGTTTTTATACAAGCAATTTAGATGAATGGATTCACTTTTTAAATCTAAATTTTCCTGGACAGATTGTCTATAAAATGTCATCCAGTTCTTGCCATAGTTGCAAAAGTGTTACTACCTGCACACACTTTTGTTTAACAACCCCATCACTAGCAGGACTTTAACCGCTCTGTCAGGTGGTTCAATGAACAGTCTGTAGTGAAGACAGGATGTTACAATATTCTTCATGGTTCAATTCTAGGGCTGGCTTAGTTTCTGAATTCTTAGGCAGATGCAATGCTTCTAGAGAGCAGAATATTTTGTGAGCTGAAGACTGAAAAAATATTTACAGTTAGGTAAATGTAGTCAAGTAACTCAGACATCAGTTGAAATATCCTGGACAATTATGCTTCCACTGGGATTTTAGACCTTATTGCATCAAATTTCTTACGTACTTGTAATAATGTTAAGGGAAAACGCCCAAAAGAGGTCATTCTGCGCAGACATTTTGGCAGAAGTGGAAAAGCTGGCATAGCTGCTTTGTCCTTTGTTTTCCCTTCATCTTTTTTTGTACAGACCTAGGATCTGTATTTCTGCAGTAAGCAGCTAAGCCCATCCTAACGGGTAATGTGCTTATTCTTGCAGGTTCCTGCACCTGAGGCAGAGCTCTGTTGTTGTCATCCCTGTTTCACAGGTGGGGAGCTGAGATGCAGAAGGGCTGTGTGAGTTTACTCACCAACACAAATGGATGAGAGTTGGATGGTGAACACAGTTTCCACCCTCTGCTGCTCTGCCCTGCCCCTTTCCTGGGGATTGCTGCCCTTGCGACATGGATGTGTGAGCCACATGAGTACGGACAGCTGGGACAGTAGTAGCCACATCTAACTCGACTCTGCTTGTGTTCGTGAGTCAATTCACAGCAGGATTTTCCTGTTAGCAAATGCCAGGATTTTCCTGGCAGAAAAATCAGAGCGAAGCAGTTGTCATGGTTTAAACTCAGCTGGCAACTAAGCACCACACAGCCACTCACTCGCTCCCCTGCAGTGGGATGAGGGAGAGAACTGGAAGGGTAGAAGTGAGAAAACTCGTAGGTCAAGGGAAAAACAGTTTGATAATTGAAATAAAGCAATAATAACAATAATAAAAAATTGTAATGAAAAGAAGAATAACAGAGAGAAATAAAACTCAAGAAGGGCAAGTGATGCAAATGAAAAGAATTGTACACTGCTGTCGCAGATCCTGATTGAAGATCCTGCCGACTACACCAGTTTGTTGTGGATGAGTGGAATGCACCTCACTCAGAAGCAGCAATATGTTTTATTGAGATAAAACGATAATTTTAGAGTTCAACAAATTTGATGGAATTTAACAAAGCTTAACAGTGGTGTACAGAAAAGGCCTTGACTCTCTGTAAGCACTGTTCAGCAAAAAAGGAAACATCCCTTTATTGTCAACGTTTTACAGCACAAATGCAAAATGTAGCCCCATACTAGCTGCTATGAAGATTTCCTTTATCCCAGCCAAAACCAGCACAGCACTAATGGACTGTAGGTCTCTGAAAGACCCAAGACAGTCTCTGCCACTGACTTTTTACTCTCTCCCTCTCTTTTTTTCAGGCCTCTTACCCCAAGGCCTCTTCTTCCACACTAATTTCTGTTTTGTGGCTTTCATCCACAAAGGGGTTTGCCCAGCAGGTAGCAAAGCTCACACATCTGGTACTGAAGAAAAGAGATTCCGTTTGCACCAGTTTTGTCTGTTGACACTGTGGTTTGTCTTGCTATAAAAGAGGTTTATCTTCCTCCACTCATGTGGCTGGTCTCACCTGAAATGGGCCAGATACTGCCTGCCACCGAGTTTCTGCATTACAAGTTTTGCCTGATTAATTTTTCTTCCTTAGTAAATGGATGTTTTTAGACACAGAGTCCAGCTAAAAGAGTTAAAGTAACAAAATAAATTGAGTTGACAATTAAAATGTTGCCTTGCTTGGATAGTTAAATGTAAGCTAGCAGCTGTTGGTCTTGATGATACCCATGGGCCATGATAATAAAGAGAGCTTTGAAAAAGGTGCTGTACCACACATGGGCCTGCAGCCATTTGCCTTTGCAAAAACATTTCCAGACTGCCACCATCTTCTTCATCCTTGGCTGGATCTTCAGAGCCTGGCACACTGGAAGATTTCTATCTGTAGGCATGAGTAGTGCTGTAAGAATCTTAGCAAGATTTTGCTCTACTAAACCTAAAAATCCAGCTGTGAATTGCCAAAGATGTTGAGGAAGAGGGTGATGGAGGACAAAGGAAATGTTCTCAGAGGGTGTAGCTCTGCCAAGCTGTGCAGAGAGGGCATTTCTCACGTTTAGCAGGACCTGTCAGCTGCAGCTCTGCTCCTCAAGGTCAGGAGATCTGAAGAGCCTAAATCTGCCTGCAGTTTGTCCATAGCATGCTTCAGACTTCCTGGAATTTACAGGTTGGAAAAAGGTGTAGTGGAGAATGAGTCTCACTTTGCAGGGAAAACCAATTTTCTTGACCTTCCAATGGAGACAGATGCTGGTGGGAGAAGTATCTGTGCTCAGCCTAAGCAAATTACAGGAGTGAATGAACGAAGCTCTGAGTGCAGGACTCGGGACTGAGTTCAGCTCGAGGCTGAACAAGATGTTTTAATGATCTCTGGCCTTAAAATTCTGGATCTAAGTTTTAAAAAAGTATTTCAGGAGGAAGCAGTAACACAGTGTAGATCAGATGTTCATCTGGCAACTAACCAGTCCAAAAGGAAAAGCTTTTTACATTTTGTTCTGTCCAGCACTCGGCCTCCTCCAAGAATTACTCCCAAGATCCAAGCTGGTGCGAATCCAGGACAGCTTTCTCTAATGTGGGTCTAACTGCAGAGTCATGGGAATGGTATGAATTCGGCAAGTCTTTTTTATAGGCAAAGGCCATTTCAAAAAGGTACTGAGCACACACCATGTTTACACTGGAGAAAGGAGGTGAAATAGGGTATTTTGCTACCCATGCACTCTTTAAGGCACTTTTACACCCTTGCCCCCAGGACCGTGTGAGCTCAGATAGTAAATCCTTGTGCGGTCAGGGGTTAGGTGCAGACACCTCTGGAGACAATTCAGAACATGAGGTACTCATTAAGGTCATACGAGTTGCCTTTTGAGGTGTACTGCCTCTCTCCATTGACTGAGGAGCTCGTGCTTCTGCTTAGACTTCTGAGTTATGAGCCAGACTAAGTTAATGTGAATGCTGCTCTCCTAATGGCACTCAACCGTGCCACAAAACCCCTGCAGAACCAGGTAGACTGAGCAGATCCTCCGGCCTCCGTGGTTACTTTCTGTTGAGCGAGTCATAAGGATACTTGGTGAGCTTTGCTATGTCCTGTCACCAGTGTACATCTGATTTTCCGCAGCAGCACGGCATGTGGAGAAGGACCTACCTCCATGGGACTTGGATTTCACCATGTGGTTCTGCTCCTACCCTGCAGGTCAAGGTGCCATGGCAGAAGTGTGGACCATTGTGGAGAGCGTGAAAAAGATCCTTGAAGAACGAAACTTGCCGACGAAGAGCTGATGGTTTGACGTGGAAATTGTATTTGTTTACCTCCCTGATGATCTGAAGATAAAACCAACAGGAAGCTGAGTCAAGATGGCACGCGTACCCATAGCGTGCCCTTCAACTGAAGGAGTGAAACGGTTGTCTTCCAGCTGGTGCCAAACTGAAATGTGGTACGTCACTGCAGAGTTTCCAAAACCAAAGCCAAGAACACGCTGCTTTAGTGTGGTGGGACAACTCTGTGGTGTCTCACAGGGAGCGAGCAACGTTCCTCTAGGCCACTCGGCCCCCAGTATTTCACGTGCACTCCTTCTGGTGACGGGGTCGCAATTGTGACAAAACTTCTCTACGCCATTGTAGATAAGCAGGCACCTCTTTATTGCAGCGCTGGGGAAACACAGAGGACAGCTCCTCTAAGTGTGCTCTGAAGTCCATATGTTTTCACAGCCCGTTTATACATCTTTAACAAAGCGATATTACAAGATTATACAAGTATGCATAAAACATCCACTTTTTAATTTGCCTTTTACTGTGATTGGTTCCTAACTACCATAATACTTCATACAAGACATTGATTTATTTCAAAAGCTTACCTCTACATAATTTTGGCTTGCAGAAAAAATAAAAGTTATGTCCTAATCCTTATCTTATCACAACTATTCTTCATGTCATTGTCTAATCTTTATTTTATCACAACTACTCTTCTTCATGTTATTGTCTAATCCTTATCTTATCACAGCTATTCTTCCTCTGGTATGAACCTGCGGACGTACCTTCTCTAAGTACTTGTACACATATACCTTGTAGTTTTAACTTTGCAGTTTAAACAAATACCTATTTAACTACTCTAATCAATCAAAATGTTCTCTTGACTGCAACACTTTGAGGAGGCTGCTGGAGGAATTGCCAGTGTATTTTGGGTCCAGTGGCTCTCCTGAGGGCTGCTGATGGGGATAATCTCAGTCCTTCCCGGTCTGTCAGTGTGGAGACATCCCAGCTCCCCAAAACCTGGTCTGTAGCTTTGATGGCTTCACCTTTCCAGCAGGAGTCACTGTCCAAAAAGCTTTTCCCCTCCAGAAACTTAATTAAAAAAGAGCTTTTAATTCTGCCCCTGAAAAACTGCCACTTGTAGCTGTTCTGGGGGGCTGTTTGTGCCTAACATCATTGCTACATTGCTAAATCATTGCATCTGTGTGCTGTTTTTATCAGAGATAGGGGAAAAAAATGACTGAAAGAAACTTAGCCTTTGCCCTTTTGTATCTATTGACTGGATAGGGATGCAGACGTCAACTGTGAACCAAAATGACGCCTGCCCAACTGGGTGCTCCAGTCAGGAAATGAACAGGCTGGGCCCTTTGTGGAAAGCTAGGCTGGGTGTTTCCCAAGGGAGCGAAGTCAAGCTTTGCCTACCGTGGTCTTTTTTGGCTTGAAAATGAACCGACTGGCACAAAAAATTGGGAAATCCTGTGAACTCTTGGGCCAGATCAGCCAGGTCTCTCCCAGTCCAGCCTTTCCTTGGAAACGCAGTCCTGCCCCTGAGGGAAATGGGAGCAAACTGGGTCTGTCGAACCCGTCGCTGTAGCTGAGCACTGCTGACCCAGAGAGTTCTATTTTCAACCAGACCCAGTCGAATTTAGGGCCTCCGGTACAGACTCTGCATCCTGCCAGCAGGAGCAACCTTCAGACTGCTACGCACGAGGGAAGAGGTTATCGGGGTATGTTTGCTTTCCTTATCTATTCCACACAAATAAAAACTTCTGAACTTTCCCACTTTTGGCTCTTCCACTGACAGATACGTGGGGATTCAGAGCTCCTTGGGGAAGGATCCTCCTGTGAGCCGAGCCTGTGGTTCACGCGAAGGGCTGTAGTGGTGCCGTGGTTGTGAACTTTGCATTTTGTGGAGTTACCTTTGTGGTGTGACCTGCATCGTTTACGCACGTTCTTCGCATGGTAAAAGCTTCTGCCTGTCAGGGGATCTTACTTTAAGCTTATTGAAGGCTTCCTGATTTCCATGAGGTTTGTAGTGAAGGTTGTTTCTCCTACTTGCAGAGAAATATGTCTGCTGGCGGGTGCAACTGCAACTTGACCTTGGGGCTCTGCTCTGGCTCTGCCGTGAATATCTTGTGTGCTTGGAGTTGCTTATCCTTTCCTCCTTGTCCGTGACTTGGCCATGCAGAAAATCCGACAGTAAGGTTCCTCATACCAGCTCAAAACACGATGTCCTTGACAAGAGTTCCTCGGTAAAGAGTCTGGTTTGCAGGCCTGAGCCACTCCAGAAACATTGGTCACGTATCGTCTGGCTTCTCCTGGCACCAGCAAAGGCATACGGCGTACACTGCAGAGCACAAACCCTGATAATCCAGCAGAAAGGGGGGAACTTGGCGGTTTTAGATCCAGAACTTAGGCTGGGTTGCCTGATAGCAGAGGGAGCTGACACCACTCTTAGTGGGCTGATCTGTAAGGCAGAGAGACACTGCTAGGATTACAGAGTTGCCTCTCGGGCTTGTGGAGAGGCTTAAATTAAAGCTTGCAAAGAATGTCCAGATCCCTGAATAAAGGGAGCCAATTCTTTGTAATGCGAATCTATAGGGAAGTGATGGAAACGTATAGGTGAGCAAAGCCTGCAGGAAAAAGGGGAGCAGTTCACAGCAGCCCAAAACCCACACAGAAAATTCCTCCGTAGAGGACCTCATCTCTGCTGCAGAAACAGCTACTACTGGTGCTGCTAAATGATCCTCTGCTTAATTGCTGGGTTTTCTAATTGGAGGCGGGCCATGATAGCATTCCAGGTTGGGATAAACCGGTGCCCAAACCACCTTGCCTTCGGGGCAGATAGAAGCAGTGAGGTTGCTTTCGGATGCAGCGGCTGAAGCAAGAGCAGCTCCCGGCCCCGGTGCGGGAACGCATCCCCACCCACAGCCGGCTGGGCGCAGGCAGCCTGCGGGCAGGGACGCTTCCCTGCCTGCTTGCTGTGGAAAAGACAAGGCGGGGAAGCCCTGTCTGCCATCGTTTGGCTTTAAGAGGGGACTCTGGGACAACTTTCTAGGATGAGGTTTGGGGTGATGAGTGAAGGACCCAGTTCCCATTGCGTTTAACACCAGGGATTTGTGCAGGCTGGGCAAGTAAGTGCTGCTGCTGAGCTGAGGTCACCAAGAGGTGTCGAGGAATGACTTCCTCAAGGCAGACAGGCCGACATCTCTGTCCCCTGCTACTTGGTGTGTGTTTCATCTTCGCAGGGAGGCCCGAGATGCCGCCTCCCTGCTTATTCTTTTCCTTCAGCTCTTCTCTCTAAGCTGCACGCTGATTTTTCGTTTCGCTTTCCCATAAAACTCTCTGATGACCAAGGCAGCGTTCCCATGAAACCTGCTGCGTTGCAGTTACATTCACGCCGCTTAAAACTGTTTCTCTCAGCGCTGGCTTGGGAGCAACAATCAGCTGGGACAAAAGCTCAGCTAAAGCAGCAGCCTTTTCTACGCTTAGACCCAGCCTTGACCTGGCTTGGACGTGACTCTGAGCATCCATTTCTCCGGCTGCATCTCCCTGATCTCAAATTCCATGTGATCCCTGTGCTCCTCGGTGTCCCATCCCACACCTTTGTCCTGGGAGCCTGCGGGAGGAATACAGGCACCCGAACATAGTGGAAAAAACCCCCATCAAGTTTAAAAAAAAACCCCCATCAAGTTTAAAAAAAAACCCAAGTGAAAAAAATCTCCCTGCTTTTAGACTTTAAACAGTCGCGCCTCTGCCATGCCTGGTTTTGAGAGCCTGCGTGCGGCAGCTTCGCACCCCGAGGCTCCGGATTTGACACCCGCCTGCAGTGAGCCGGGGTTCGCACCTCGGCAAGCGGGGACGCCGCCTGCTTCGTATCTTCGAAAGCACGGGGCGGCAGGAAATGGGTTTTTTTTCTGCCCCGACCGCAGCGCGGCCGGGTGCTGGGAGAGGGCGGTGGCTGCCGAGGGGCGATGAATTGGTGGCGGCAAGTGAGAAGGTGGGGTTACTCGCCCAGGTGGGCTTTTCCTGCTCCGGCAGAATTAAAAATGCCCAAATAAAGCCCTGAGGAGCCAATCTTCCTTCTGTAAAGTTTACATAGCGGTTGCAGGACAAATTATAGCTTATATAGAGGTTGCAAGACTACAGCAGTGTGGAATTATTGTTACGTGCTTGCGAAGCTGGACCCTGGTGAGCTGGACAAGCTGTCGGATTCACTGGTGCTGCAGCCCCCTCTCTTTGAGTGGGGGGCAAGGTCTTAAATAAGGTGGTTCCTAGGCCTTAGGCTCCAAATCGCTGCTGCTAGCAAAGGAATTGCTGTTCCGCTCGTTTGTAACCCGCTGTGTTACAGAAAGCTGGCTTTGGGGTTTATCTTCTGCTCACTGCAGTTCTGCCTCCGCTTCCCCTTGGGTATGGCGTGTTCCTGCTTCCAGCAGAGCCGTAGCGAGGGATCTGAAGGGATTGCGGCCATCCCAGCCTCTGCCCGCGTGGTTTTGCTTGCCATCTGCATCAGCTTTTCTGCCTCTCCAGCCCTCCCGACTCAGAGACCTTAGAAAGCATCTGAGCTGCCGTGGCCACCGATAAGGACGGTGCCGAAGGACCCAGCACCGCTCAGCACAGACTCCTTGGCACCAACTGTGCTGATAGCTGGGCTTCAGCAGTGGCAACCTTGCAATTAAAACTTGCAGGTGCAGTGTTCTTGCCCTGGCCAGCAGCCTCGGTGAATAGTTTAAAAATTGTTTCCAGGCGTAATTGAGCTTAATTAGAAGCTGGAATTCCTTGGGGTTGGTGCTGCTCAGGGTTTCTGTACTTGTCGGGAGTCGCGCAGGGGCTGAAGATGCTTATTGATGCACGGAGCAGGGAGAGAAATAATCTGATCGGGGCAGTTGTTCCCTGATAGGTCTCACCCTGTCTGGGTTTTCATTCCTGGGATGTCATCCGTCAGATGGAGACTGGGATTTGTTTCTCTCTGGCTGTGTAGTGGAAACCCCGGCTTTGATGTCGTACCTCACTTTTCCGACTCTCTGGGGAGAAAACAGAGGATAAAGGGAACAGAGCCAGCAGAAAGCCTTCATGCCGGCCAGGATGACGAAGAATAAAGGTGACTTTTAGGCGTGTAGTCATCATAGTTAAGATAAAATCAATCTGCTCCTGACCGCAGACTCTGGGCTCTCTGGAGGCAGGACAGAGAGATGGGCTCTGTGTGGAGACTCATAACATCCAGCTCCATCAACTGCGACTGCAAAGAAACCCCAGTGTGAGAGCTGGGAGAGCCCAGTGTCCTCCTGGCCTGCGGACTGATGGCATGCAGCCTTCAGTCCC